TCAATATCTGGTTCCTCTTTGTACTTGAGTCCAGTCACAGCATAAAACTCTTGCATTGAAAACCTAAGAGGCCTCTTTGCAAACAGAAACCACAGCTCGTGAAGCTTAGAAACCTTCAACTGCTTGCATATGAAGCTGTGAACAATCTTCCCTGAGTAGATGAGCTTGTTATCATTGATGGCCAGAAGCGGACCAAAGACCGGGTCTTTCTGCACTTCCTCGTACTCATCCTTGAGAGCAACCTTCAGTATATCAAGAATTGTACGTCTACAGGTGTTGTTAATCTTAGCAATCTGATGCTTAATGCCTTCTTCGAACACGCGTTTTGGATACTCCAAAGCCATGCCTGTAAAAAATGAGATCAAATAACATGATAGTCAGTATCAATTGACAGACTAAGTACAAAACTCTTAACAATAACTTAATCGATCCGTTTTACATGTTAAACTGTACACAAAAGAATCACAAAACTATATACAGTGTGAGTTACTCAGTTAAAAACTCTTAAGAGTAACTAAATTGATGGGTTTTACATGTTAATAGTACACAAAAGAATCACAAAAATTGTTACATTGTGAGCTACTAAGCACAAAACTCTGAAGAGTAACTTAATTGATCGGTTTGCATGTTAAATTGAACACAAAAGAATCACAAAAATCGTACTATTTACAAAACGCTTTTTCGAAGAAGGCATTGAGCATCACAAAAGAATCACAATAATCACATGTAAATTGAACACAAATGAATCACAAAAATAACATGTAAAACAAATCAATATCAAAAAGGGGTCTCATTTTTCATCTCGGTTCATAGTTGAAGAGAGGTGATAATTGTTGAGTTTCTAAGCTATCCCACTGTTTCTCTAATACATGCACATNGAACGCCGGAGACGGAAGGGAATCGGCGCCGGAGAGAACACGAGGGGAGTTGGTGTTTTGACTTAGGGATTTTGACTTGTACGATTTTTGTATGCTTATTAGTATATATGTATTTTCACCTTTTTTAATTAGTATTTGTATTTTTTTTTATTAATTCTATATTTAAATTAAAAAAATTTAAATACTGAGGACTAATTTGAATTTTCATTAAAGTTTGTTCTAAGGGGACATAAATCATGATATTTATTCTAAGGGGACAAATGTTGTGTTTTTTGGTCCCCTTTTGGCAAATTTCCCAAAAAAAAAAAGAAATCAACTCTAAACCGAGTTAAAAAAGGGTAAAATCGTCATTATAAAAGAACAGCTAGTTTTCACCTGGTTCTCTCTCTCTCACTAGAGAAAAAACAATCATTCACAGTCCGCACATTGATGCTCTAATCTCTCTTGATCTTGATGCTACGACGACGACAACAATGGTGACGTTCCGAAATCTTGTTCTCATCTTATTGCTTCTCACCGTCGCTGCTCCTATTCTTCTCTACACCGATCCCTACGCCTCTATCAAGACTCCATCTTGTTAGTTTCCTCCGATTTTGAGTTTTTTTTGTTTTTAATTACGATTCGATTCGCATTCTTACTCCTATGTGTTTGTTTGATTGATTGATTGTGTAGCTAAACGCGATTTCATCGATGACGTAACTGCTCTGGTTAGTTTACTTCTCTTCTTCCTCCTCCATTGATGAGTTCTTTCTTCACAATTTTCTAAAGCTTTACTCTTTTTCTTGATTCAGACTTTCAATTCCGAAGAGAACCGTTTGAATCTGCTTCCACGGGTGAATGTTTCTCTCGTTTTCAAGTTACTTGATTCGCCTTTTAGATCTTATTTCAATTGTTTTCTTAGTCTCTTGTTTTCATTTGTGTAATAGGAATCTCAGGCGGTGGTGAGAAGAGACGTCGTGGGTGTAGTGTATTCCACGCAAGACTCTGATTCTTCGCGGAAGCAAGGTTTCTACAAGTTTATCCTTCTCTTGTTACTTTTCTTTTATTCAAAGTTTTAAACTTTAGACGAGTTTAGTTCATAAAGCTTTTACCTTTTTCAGAAACGAGAGACCAGTTTTCTGCTCGTGTTCTTTCAGCCGCCGACGATGAGACTCAGTCTCAAACTGATAATCACATCAAACAAGTCACTGATACAGCTTCGGAGATGGATAAGCCAAGTGATGTGCACGTTTCTTCTGATACCTCTCAGGATAAGGTACGTTTTCTATATGACAAGAGTATCCAGTTTCTTGGATTGAGTTCCATCGGAGTTTCCTCATTGATAGGCTTCAGATTTTACTTTGTGATTGATAGTGTAGATTAGGAGAAGCAGGACTTGTTCCTGTGGTAGATTGTTTTGCAAAATCACCAAATTATGGTGTTGTTATGACAAAATGATCTTTGTACTCTCTCATTAAGCTGTGCACCTATCTCGTCATCTTGTAGGAAAGGATGCAAGTTCAGTTGACTCAGAAAACCACTGAAAAGGTTGATGAGCAAGAGCCTAAAGATTTTGGAGCTGAGAAAGAGAGGGGAAATGTGGTGATGCCTGATGCTCAGGTGAGGCATCTTAAAGATCAGCTGATTAGGGCAAAGGTTTATCTTTCACTTCCAGCTGCCAAGGCTAATCCACATTTTGTGAGAGAGCTTCGGCTCCGTGTTAAAGAAGTTACACGGGCTGTCTTAGATGCCTCCAAGGATTCGGATCTCCCAAAGAAGTAAGTTTCCTTCCTTGGAATGACCTCTTAAAAAAAGTTTCTTCCAGTGACTAACGTCTCTGGCATTTTTTAAACTCAGTGCTATAGAAAGGCTGAAAGCAATGGAGCTAACATTGGCCAAAGGCAAGCAGATCCAAGATGACTGCTCCACAGTGGTGAAGAAGCTACGTGCAATGCTCCATTCGGCAGAGGAGCAGCTACGAGTCCATAAGAAGCAAACCATGTTCTTGACACAACTGACTGCCAAGACGATTCCAAAGGGCCTTCACTGCCTCCCTTTACGCCTCACTACCGATTACTACAATTTAAATTCGTCTGAGCGACAATTCCCGAATCAGGAGAAACTAGAAGATAATCAGCTTTATCACTATGCCCTCTTCTCTGATAATGTTTTGGCTGCATCAGTTGTTGTTAACTCTACCATAACCAATGCAAAGGTAAGAATTAACTTTGTTCATCTGATTGAACAGTTAAATGTAATTCCTTAAGTTATACTTATGGTCATATTGGTTTGTTGGCAGCATCCCTCAAAGCATGTCTTCCACATCGTCACAGACAAACTCAACTATGCGGCAATGAGGATGTGGTTCTTAAACAACCCACCAGGCAAAGCCACCATCCAGGTTCAGAACGTTGAAGAATTTACATGGCTGAATTCAAGCTACAGTCCTGTTCTCAAACAGCTTAGCTCTCGGTCCATGATAGACTACTACTTCAGGGCGCACCATACAAATTCAGATGCCAACTTGAAGTTCCGGAATCCAAAATACTTATCTATCCTTAATCATCTTCGCTTTTACTTGCCTGAGATCTTCCCGAAGCTAAGCAAGGTGGTTTTCTTGGATGATGATATAGTTGTGCAGAAGGACCTTTCTGGTCTTTGGTTAGTTGATCTGAAGGGTAATGTCAACGGTGCTGTGGAGACTTGTGGGGAAAGCTTTCATCGCTTTGACAGATATCTGAACTTCTCAAATCCACTCATCTCCAAGAATTTTGACCCTCGAGCTTGTGGATGGGCGTATGGTATGAATGTTTTTGACCTTGACGAATGGAAGAGGCAAAACATAACAGAGGTTTACCATCGTTGGCAGAATCTGGTACGCAGAAAATATATTCACCTATGGTTTGGTTGCTTGTGGCTGTGGACTTGGTTGCAGGTCTTTGAGTTCAACAATGTTTGTTGATCTTATACACGAACTGTTTTGAACTTGCAGAATGAAGACCGAGAACTATGGAAGCTAGGGACGCTGCCGCCTGGTCTCATCACATTTTGGAAAAGAACATACCCGCTAGAACGGAGATGGCACGTGCTGGGACTTGGATACAACCCAAGTGTGAACCAGAGAGATATTGAGAGGGCAGCCGTCGTACACTACAATGGCAACCTCAAACCATGGCTCGAGATTGGGCTTCAAAAATATCGAGGCATTTGGTCAAAGCACGTAGACTATGAGCACGTTTATCTCAGAGAATGCAACATCAATCCTTAGCAATAGAGTCTCTATTGAAGAGCAGTTGTAATATGCGTCAAACTTTATTTCTTTTATTATTTTTTGATGAGATCTTCATTACATGAGAAACCAAATTGTAGATGATACGTAAACTACATTTGTTTGGATAGTAAAGACCGATGTTATTAGTGAAATATACCTGTTTTTACATTGAAAATGTCCTTGAAGAACTGTTTTTTTCTTCTAAATAGCTTCAGCAGAACTTTCACTGTTTTGTAAGAAAGTAATTTTGTTGTATTTTTACCAAATTACCGAACAAAACGACATATATTCATTGTTCATGCTCGTGGCAGTGTCTATAATTAGAGAGCAGTGGAAACTCCTAACTAATAGGAATAAGGATAGACAACAAAACTACATGTGATACACACTCAACTACAGATGACAACTCATAGATCGTCTCCTGAAACCTTGTCCAATCCATTTTCAGTCCCTAGCAATGATGTAGACGGATTGTCAAAGGTGAGAGCATGGTCTGACTGATGGTAACCAGCTGTATTCAAGCCTGATTCTAGTATTGGGTGCGCCACCACCATCTCAGATGTATATCCAGCTCCACCTCCTCTCATCAACCTAGGCTTCTTTGATGATCTCTCTTCTCCAGCGCTCTCGTCTTGGGACCCAATGTGACACCCCGAGTCTGGTGTCAGTGCCTCAGGGTAAGATGAATGAGACTCTTCAAGTGAATGGCTCTTGTCTGGCTCACATTCTTTGCCAGATTTACCCTGTAGGGGAAACTCGGATGTTGGGGCAGGGGTTGCAGGATCTGATTCGCCTGTTACTGGCCCTGAGGATTCGCCAAGAGTTCCACTGAGTCGCTGTTGCTCTTCAATTATCTTCTTCAAGTACTTCCCTTGTGCTTCTATCCGTAGTTGCAGCTGTCTTTGCACCTACAAAACAGCAAAGAATGTCATACTTCACGCAAAGTAACCACTAACTAATTAATTATTTCCTAAAGTAGCATGGTGAAGGCATACTTCTAGTTGCTCGTGCAATCTTTTCTGAACTTCCATCTGCAACTTGAGGGCTTCAGTAATCTGTGTTCCCCTGTAATCAAAAAGTGTTAGCCTCTTTCTGATCACTTTATCTTAAACACCATGTGGTAGCATCAAAATTAACTCAAACAATGAAACTTCACGTACGGTGAACCATCCAAACCAGAAAGCACATCTCCAGATTCTTTCTTATCGGTTTTCTTCCCTGAAAAAAATACATAAACTCCAGTTTTAGGCAAATAGGTAACAGAAAGCATGAGATAAAATAAAGGAATTAAATGTCCACTTACCTTCAGACGAAGAATCTGGCAGATACTTTGCAAGACGATATTTCTGAGTCAAAACACACATGTGAAAAAATCAGCAAAAGAAACTAAGGGATGCATTAATGGTTCAGACTTAAAGAGAAAGAGAGAATAAAACAGGACCGAACACTGTAATCTATTCAAGTATACTACCTGTAAGTGACTCTTGACATGATAAATAGTTAACCCTTGTACACCCATCACTCTAAGAACTCCTTTAGGTGTAGCTCCTTTGAAACATCAAAGAGAGAGGAAAAAACATTCAGTAACCCTAACCAAACAGATAGGCTTTTCCTCTCATGACAACAAAACATGAGTTACTAAATTTAATAGAAACATAGGAAACTCACTGTCAGGGCCACCAAGTTGAGCAACGGCATCAACGAAACGTTCATGAAGCTCATGAGTCCAACGCAAACGTTGTTTGGAAGCGTGATTAGAATTGTTCCCTCCGTCGTCTGCTTCCATCAGGCTAAGTTATAAACACGTTGAAAGGAAACTAATGAGCTGTTGCTGGTCAGAAACATCAGGCAGTCAAATCTGCAGCCAAAGGAAATGATTCAAGGACCATTAAAGCTTGTTAACTTTAGAACTAATACGGTAAAGAAAGTAAACTCAAGTTTCAGACTCTCTAAAGTTCTACCAGAGATCAGACAAACAACCAAATCACGTGGTCGGAAGAAAAATAGAAAATAGAAACTAGAGGGAAAAAAGGAGAAACCTTTGGGTGGATCTATACAAGAATCAGAGGGCTTCCCTCCATTCTCGGAACTTGATCTTCTATCCGACACTCAAATCTAATCCAATAGAGATCTTGTCTGTATCTGAAGATGTTCTGGATTTCACTCAGTCGTCTTAATTCCGATTGTTCCTGAGAAACGGCGATGAAGCAGAGTCCTCCACCGTGTTTTGCTAGTCGTCCTTTTCAGCTTTCGATAGATCGAATTCGCGTCTGTGGCATTGACTATTGTACTAGGCATGGCCACATTATAAACCGAGAACCCAAAAAGCAGAACCTGAACCTAACCGAAAATACCGAATGCAAACCGAAGTCTACAGATAATATGGATTCCTGTATTTCTTAAACTGAAAATCGGAAACCAAACTAGAACAAAACCGATAAATCAATTGGATATACCTAACTATCTAGGATACAATTCATATATTTAAAATAGGACAATTCTCTTAAATATATATTTTAAAATTTTTATCACAAAAAATAGACCTCAAAAATTAAAAATGATCAAATAATTTTTATTTTCAAAATTTTTATTTTATTTTTTATTTTAAATTTGAAATCTTATCTTCAAAACTTCACTTCTCGACTCTAAACAAAAAAATATATAATTAGTTAATCTATAGGATATAAATGTATATTTACTTATTTTTGATAAAATAATTAAATTTAATTTGGTCATTTTATTTTTGAGGTTTATATTTATGACAAAAAAATTAGATCTATTATAGAGAACTTTTCTTTAAAATATTGTTAAATTTTAGTTTTAAATACCAAATAGTTTTAAAATAGTTTTATAAACTAAAACTAGATTTCGACCCGCACAACTGTGTGGGTATTTTAATACGAAAATATATGAAATTATATAATAAAATTTATCAATAACTAAGTATAATTTGATTATGTATGCTATCCAATTTTATAATAAATTTATGTGACTTATAATATTATTAATATAAAATTTATAAATTTGTATTTTTGTAACAGTTTTTAAAACATTATTATGTAACATTACTAATTTATATTTTTTATTTCTAAATTTGAAATATATGTAAAAATTAAATTAAATTGGACCTACATAATACATAAGAAAACTTGGGATATTGCTAAAAGTGTTTTACATAATTTAATTTTTTGTTTATAAATAAAAAATGAAAAAAAAAGTTTATTTATATTTTATGATAATTAAAATTTTAATCAAATACTCTTTGAAACTATAAAGATTTTTAAAAGATTTTGTTAGAATTTTTTACAACTATTTATTTGTATTTCAAACAAAAATTAAAGATATGAAAATATATTATAATGTTATGTAGAATTTTATAAAATCCTAAAGACGATCAAAACTAAAATATCACACATAAAATGAGTCATGATTTCTCTTTTAATATAATAGATTGACTAAAAAAAACTGATATGCAATCCGAATTATTTGAAATTACCTGTAACCCGTATCTGATTTATCAGATCCGGTTCCTATATTTATTACCTGAAACCGAGCTGAAGACCAAAAGAACTGAAACCGAACAATTCGTATGTCTCTAGAATCAGAAAAAACATAAAAACCGAACAAGAACCAAATCACCCATACCTATTTGTCCATAGATTCACTAGGCCGGATCTCTCGTCTAGCCACACTAAGGCCCAAACATTATACTGAGTAGTTAGATCAACTTTCGGTGGGTCCGAAACTCAGCAAAGAACAGCGACTCACCAGCTACTTCCTTCCTTCCTTCTCCCGCTTCCACAACTTCGCCGGAGAATCCTCCTTCCTCCCCCGATAATCGCGACCAATGGATTCGAGAAACATAATCCACCTCTCTCTCCTCCTCCTCCCACTTCTCCTCTCTCTCCACTTCAAAACCTCCGAATCCTCCGTCCACATCTACCCTTCCCAACCCTTCCACGACGTCGGCAACTCCCTCCTCCTCTACGGCGGCAGCGAAGGCATCTTCGCCTCTTCCCGATCCTTCATCAGGTTCGCAACTCTCCCTTCTCCTCTAGATTTCTCACATTGTCTGAGTCTAAGCATTGATCTATACTCGTTTTGCAGGTTTGAGAACATCACTCTCTGGAGAACAAACGACATACAACGAAAAGGCCGCAACGGCCTAGTCCAAGCCGTTATCTTCGAAGCCTCGGATCGCAACAACATCGGCGGGTCAGCTTACGGTGGACAGAGATCCATCTGCTGCACACCAGATCTCGCCAAGCTACAGGGCTGCAAGCAAGGAGAGATCATTAGGATCCCTTCTTCACACGATCCAAACTGGCCTATCCTCTTACGCGCCAAATTCAAAGGGAAAACATTATCTACCAAGATGGAAGACACTGAGATTCTAATCAAGAAAACTGGGATGTACAATCTTTTGTTTATTTCGTGTGATTCTAAGCTTAAGGGAGTTAAGTTGACAGGGAAGACTGTTTGGAAGAATCCTGAGGGTTATCTTCCTGGTAGGATGGCTCCTTTGATGAAGTTCTATGTGTACATGGCGTTTGCTTATGTGTTGCTTAGTGTGGTTTGGTTCTTTCAGTATTTGAGGTTTAGGAAAGATATTTTGCAGCTTCAGCATTGTGTAACTGTGGTTATTGTTCTTGGGTTGCTTGAGATGGTGTTTTGGTATTTGGATTATGCGAATTTTAATAGTACTGGGAAGAGGCCTTTGGCGCTTACGACTTGGGTTGTTACTATTGGTGCTGTTAGGAAGACTGTTTCGAGGATTCTGATACTTTGTGTTTCCATGGGGTTTGGGGTTGTTAAGTCGACTCTTGGTGGGCTTACTTCTAAGGTTCTTCTTGTTGGAGGTACTTACTTTGTGGCTTCGGAGATGCTTGATATTGCTGAGAATGTTGGGATTATTGATGATGTGTCTGGAAGAGCAAAGCTTTTTCTTGTCTTGCCTGATGCTTTCTTGGATGCGTTTCTTATATTGTGGATCTTTACCTCTCTTTCCAGAACACTGGAGCAGCTACAGGTATCTCTTTCTTTCTAAATTGGGAGCTTTTTGATTAGAATCTGTAAGGTTTTCAGGCGAGATTCAATAGAGTAGCTTATCAAACTTCATTATGATTGATTCTTATGCAGATGAAGAGGACTTCAGTGAAGTTGGATATTTACAGGAAGTTCTCAAATGCTCTTGCTGTTTTGGTTGTTACCTCCGTTGCTTGGATAGTGTATGAGGTACTGTTTTCTCAAGCTTGATTTGATACTGATGTAGTAAAACTGTAAATCGTATTAACTCATTTCCTACTTGAGTAAATGGCTGGTGAAGGCACTCCTGAACTTATTATTTAGGATGACTTAAAACTGGTTTTGAAATCAAGCTAGATCCTTATTTCTTGGAATGTTATCAAGCTTGCCTGATGATTTGTCCCCTGCAGGTGCACTTCAAAGCAACAGATCCGTTCAATGAACGATGGCAGACTGCTTGGACTATAACTGCCTTCTGGGATGTTATTGCATTTGTGTTGCTATGTATTATATGCTATCTCTGGACCCCATCACAGAACTCTCAAAGGTATGTTACACCAACTTAAAGGTTTTGATAAATGTCTAGCATACCAACAAGAAGCTTGATTTGTGAGCTGAGTAACTGAAATGGAAACTGTACCAGCTGAGCATGTTCTGTTGGTCTTGTGGAAGTCTGGGCTAGATAGACGCTAGTGGTCCAGTTTATTGTGCCTTGATGATGCTAATGTGAGACTAATGGTTTGAACAGATACGCTTACTCGGGAGAAGTGGATGAAGAAAACGAGGAAGTTCAGTCTCTGACAGGGGGGAAACAAGATGGTGATATTAGCTTAGTCAAGCTAGAGAAGAATACTGACTCGGACACGGAAGAAGATATTGAGGAAGATAAGAGGGAATGAGGTTGACGACGTCTGTACTTTAATCCCACAAGTCCAGTGAAGTAGAAACAGTGTCTTTTCAACATCAAGTCAACTTCAACACAAAGTAACCAAAACGTTTCCTTACAAGAAATATCTATAAAAAAAAAAGAAGACTGCTTGTGTTTTACTGTATGTTTGTATCTGAGTTCTATCCCCGTTTGTTTTCTGAGTACATAAAAGTATCTGTTTCTCACCACAAAATTCAGTTTTCTCAAATCCAAGTGATTACTTTTGTTATTTTTACTATGCAACAATCATTTTATCATTTGTAATGAATCTATTTTGGTGTTATGAGATTAGGAAGAGAGGGTATAGATTTATTGCCTTCCTTTTTTTTTGTGCACCAGATTTATTGCCATACTTCATCTTAATTATTTTCTTATTGTAGTTAGAATCGTTTATTGTAAAACTAATAAATTGTCAAATACTATCCTCAAGCACAAGTCTCTCTCTCTCCTTTTCTCTCTCGCTCATCTTTTTCTTTCCACAGCACCGCCATTGAAGTAAGGAGAGAGAGAGAGCTTCCTGCTTTTCACCTATTATGCCTCCACCAACGAGGCATCATCAACAACCATACTACCGAAACTACTCCTCCTCCTCATCATCAACAGCATCTCTCAAAGGATGCTGCTGCTGCCTCTTCCTCCTCTTCGCCTTTCTAGCCCTCGTCGTACTCGCAGTAGTCCTAATCATATTACTAGCCGTGAAGCCAAAGAAACCACAGTTCGATCTACAACAAGTGGCAGTAATGAACATGGGAATCACATCTCCAGACAACCCTAACCCTAGCGTCATGGATCCAACCACCGCCTCCCTCTCCTTCACAATCCGCATGCTCTTCACCGCCGGTAACCCGAATAAAGTCGGGATCAGGTACGGTGAGTCCAGCTTCACGGTGATGTACAAAGGCTTGCCTCTAGGGAGAGCCACGGTGCCTGGATTCTACCAAGACGCGCATAGCACGAGGAATGTTGAGGCGACTATTGCTGTGGATAGAGTGAATCTTATGCAAGGCAACGCGGCTGATCTGGTGAGAGACGCTTCGTTGAACGACCGAGTTGAGCTTACTGTTAAAGGAGATGTTAGTGCTAAGATCCGAGTCATGAACTTTGATTCCCCAGGCGTTCAGGTTCTTACATCTTTTTGTCTCTTTTTATTTTTCAGTTCTGTCGGAAAAGGATTTGTGGTGGATCTGGATGGACTAGTGTGAACTGAGTAAAAGAAATTTACCACAAGCAGTAAAAACTTTGAGGGTAAATAGAAAAAGAGGAGAAGAAGAATTTGATGTTAAGTAATAGATTCCCTTTTACACCACTAGTCCCACTCACCTTTTGCTAGGATCCACGTAGGCACTTTGCATTGTGTTTAATCCACCAGCTAAAAAAAGCTAATAATCCCATTATTAACAACTCCTAAATCTTGTGCTTATTATTAGGACGTAACACCTTCTTGAGTATTTAATGCTTTCATTTATTGTTATTATTATTGTATTGATGGGAAAATGCAGGTATCAGTGAATTGCGGGATAGGGATTAGTCCGAGGAAGCAGGCTTTGATTTACAAACAATGTGGCTTTGATGGCCTCACCGTCTAAATTCCAAATTATAACATATAGTACTACTGACCACTCCCTGAAACGTTGTGGAGTTTCCAAAAAAAAGTTAAACTGGTAAAGAAACGGAACAGGATCCATATCTGATTTTTTTTCTTTTGTGTTCCTTTGTACAAGCTATATTTGAAATAGCAACAGTGTTGTGTTTACCAAAGTTACTAATCACTTCAGTAATTAATAATTTAATCACGTTGTGACCCCTTCCTTGGCCACCCTTAGTTTACATTTGTGTATGTCGAAATGTTCTGTGCTAAGGCTTTATTTGATGACTAGAAGGATCTTGAAGCGATGTTTGTTAAAGAAAAAAAGCCTTTTGGGCTTGAAAATGTTGGATATTACTGGGCTTAATTAAAAGAGAACACAGTTTTTTAATATATACACATAACTCGTAAATCTACAAAAGAATACGGGATAAAAAAGTCAATTAATTTCAGACAGATCTGTCGAAGAGCATTCCGAGAAGACTTTTAAGCGAAGCCCTAAGGCGGTTGTCTTCTCCTCCTCTCTGTTCCTCTCCTTACGGTAAGATCCTACTCTCAGATTTCAGACCTTCAAACCCTAATTGAACACCGATCTTGTAGATCTGAGTTTCAATTTCCCCTTCTTTTTTTCGAGATGTCTTGTTCTCTTAGTGCGTGAACCTATCTTAGTCTATGTTGATTTTCTTGAAATTCTTGGAGTGATGATATCTTGAATACAACTTGTCCCCTGTTTTGCAGATTCGTTATCTGTTGTGGTTTATCTTCGCCCTCGGAGTTTTCAGGAAGCTTGCCTTGACTCTCCTCTTGGGCTAATCTTATAACTTTCACTCGCATCAGGTAAGAAGTTTGGTTCATATGTACTCTATCGCGTTAGTTTTAAAGCTTTATCTTTGAGTCTTTGCAGTTATTAGTCTTGAATGGTAAACCCTAGTTGCAATAACTGTAATTTTGCTGGAGTGTTACTTTTTGTAGGAGTTGCCAAAGTGTTAAACGTTTGAGTTGTTTTATCAACTTCATAGTTATTCTCTCTGTGCTTTGCCTTGATTGTGTTCCTTCAAGAACTCATTATTTTTTTGTTTGTCGTTTGTTTTTTAAGCTTAATTGATTGTTTATGGATAGAAGAGCTAACATTGTTATCTTCTTCTCTTTTGTGAGATGCACTTTTGGTTATATTCATACCAAAATGCAGATTTTCAGCTGGTTTTTGATTCGAAATGGACTCCAAGAAGTTCATGCAGATGGTGGAGGAGAAGAAAAGACAGATTCTTGCGAAGAAAGAAGCTCCTCTGAAATGGGAGCAGAAGCTAGAGGCGGCTGCCAAGGCTACTGGAACCAAAGATAAGAAGTCAAAGAAGCGAAGACATAGGGATGCGTCTGAATCGAGCTCAGAAAGTGATAGTGGCTCTGAGGTGAGAAGAAAGTCAAGGAGAACTCACAGTAAGCACCGGAGGCATGCACACTCTGATTCAGATGATAGTGATAGGAGGAAAGATAGGAAATCAAGGAGGCACAAGAGAAGGTCCTCAAGTAGCAATGATGAGTACGAAAGTGAGTCTGATGACGAGCACAGGATAAAGATAAGACACCACCGGAGGCACAAGTCGCATAGCTCAAGGCACAAGTCGCATAGCGAGGTGGTTACTTCAAGTGATAGCGAGGAAGAGAAAGGAGGAAGAAGACGAGGCAAATATCACAGGCACAGCAGAGGTTCAGCCTCGTCCAGCGACTCTGAGGATGGTGGGAAGAGTGGAAAGAGAAGACAACACAAAAGGCATCGAAGGGAAGAGTCTTCAGGCGAGGATGATGGAGCAATGCGAAGGAGAGGGCTTCATAAACATGACAGAGAGTCGGCATCCGAAACTGATGGAATGTTGTCAGATGAGAAAAGAGAGCACAGCATAGACAAGTGAAAACGTGGACGGGCATTTGAAAGTGCATTTGTTAAATTCGGTTATCAGAAACTGAGTGTTGTGCAACCATTAGCACACAGACTCTTTAATATTGTTGTGATTTACTTGTGGCATTTCTCTTCCTTGTTTATGTTTCATCTTTACATCAGTGGATTTTAAACCTGAAACAAATCCTAAATGATTCTGGACGCATTAACAAAAGTTGTTTTTCAGCTCTCAGGTGAAGCGTCTTTATAATGAAAATTGTGAGATTATATAGTAAACGTTGCAGGTATCTCCATGTTAATGGTTGGTCTCAGAGTTTAATGTTCATGGGTTGTAGAAGATAGGATTTACATAGCCCCATTGAGACCTATGTTCTCTTTTTTGGTTGCTATAAAGATTATGTTTCAGATAAACAATGTAAGTACCAAACTGTGGTTTCTTGCATGGAAGGTGATATACATGATTTTATTTGTCTTTGATAATCTAAGATCCTCACCGACCTGTGAGCTTGACCATCCACGCACCACCCAAGTATAGCCCCAAAAGAGGCGTTGCTAGGAGCATTTGAGTGACAGGGTCTGTCGAGGGAGTGACAACAGCTGCTACAACCACCGCACCAACCACAACATATTTCCATATGGATAGCATTTGATCTCCTGACACCACCCCTACTTGTCCCAGGAGTAACTGAATTACTGGAACCTATAAACGAACACAAGAAGCCAAATTCGAGGTGAAGATGCATACATTACGATGTACTTGCAAGTTGCAACATGTATATTCTCATTGCTATATACCTGGAAAGACAAGCCAGTGCTGAACATAAGCACAAGTACAAACTCAAAGTACTGATCAATAGACCAGAGAGATTCAACCACCCCTTCTGCGTAGTTGACAAAGAAATTCAAGGCTGCAGGGGTTAAAATCCAGTAGGAAAAAGCAAGTCCAGCATAGAAGAGCAAAGAGGAACCAAACACAATTGGCCCCAAAAACCTTCTCTCAGCTCGTGTCAAACCAGGAAGTACAAAAGCTATAATCTCATACAGTATTACTGGACTCCCTAGTAGAAGCCCACAATAACCCGATACCTGTAACCACAACAAACATAAAAAAATAAGACCTTTTCATCTGACAATCTAATCATTTACCTTTAGTCCAAGAGACTCTGACCTTTAAAGTTGTGAAGAAGAATTCTCCTGGAGCTAGCTGAAGAAACCGTACACCCTGTGTTTTGACAGGGGCTTCAAGAAACACGATTAAATCTTTGGAGTAAGCGAAGCAACCCGTGATTGCAGCTCCCACAGCCAAAACAGAGACGAATATTCTCTCACGGAGCTCCTCGAGGTGATCGAATATAGTCATCTCTTTGTCATCAGGAAGCTCGTCTTTGCGAGGATACAGAAACTCATATATCGAACTTGCTTTGTCTTCTTGCTCAAAGGATGCATCTTCCACAGCTATATTAACCCGGAAGGTTAAAAGTGTAAACTTTCGACAAAGATACGAATAAAAAACAACTCTTTCATTACGACAGAAACAAGAAACTGGAGTTTAAGTTAACATACCTGGTCTGTCTTCTACAGCAGAGCTAACGCTGGGAGTGATTTCTATTGGTGAATCAACGGAGTTTTCACCCAGAGCTGATAAGCGAGTCACGGGGGTTAAGCTTTTGCTAGAGCGTCGCGTCACACCGTTTCGAAGTCCACTTTCCTTCCATGAGTTGCAGAAACTCAGAGTGTACGGAAGATTTCTAGGGGAATTCAAGTTGAGACTGGTGAGGCGGAAATGGTGGATTAGAGCAGCAGAACTCGTGCTTGTGCTGCTCATAACTTCTTCTCTCTGTCTTCTCCAGTTCAAGAAACAATCCTCTCTTTTGCTTGCAAGAGCGGAGAGCCTCTGAGAGAACGATTGGTTCTCAGCAAGAGTTTCCGTCGCTTCATGTAAATTCAAAACGACATCGTTACAGAAAGGGCCCATTACGGCCCAAACACTTTATTTATTACTACTTTGTCATTCGAGTTTCCTTCGGCTCATGTAAATCCGAAACGTCATCGTTTCGAGAAACAAAGGCCCATCACGGCCCAACTTTACTGAACAGTAAATACCAGTGGTTACGATGGTTCACTTGAGGACTGGAGATCGGCCGAGTCATTTTCCCGCCAATTTGTTTTACCGATGGGCAAAGAGAATCCGGCGGAGAAAACCCTAAATCTGATTCGCGGGAGGCTCTGCGATCCTACTTTCGTCTTCAGACCACTTTCCGGTTCTTCAGACAGCAACTACAGGTTTTAATTGCTTTGTCTTTCTGTCTGAAAATTCCGTAAATTGGATTCATTTTGATAAATAAAACCTAAAATAAAAATCGTCTCTTTCTTTTCAGCAAATTGAAGTTCATTGTGTCGACCTCTATCACGGAAGGATGCAACAATTCAATCTTGCTTCTGGGTCCTCGTGGCTCTGGGAAAGCTGCTGTATGATCCTCTCAACCTTGCTTCTTTATACTCTCGTGGCGTTTGATTTGTTAATTTTTAAATGGTTTTTCAGGTGTTGGATCTCGTTGTTGGTGATTTAATGGAAGAGTATCCAGATTCAGTAACAGTAGTATGTGTGATTTTGTATATATAAGCAATCTACATTGGGATATGTTGTGTCTCCATCTTGTCATAACTAATACCTTGTGTGGATGCAGATCAGATTGAATGGACTCCTGCATAGTGAGGATATTTGTGCATTTAAGGTCTCGTTAGCTTGAGAGAGCCAGCATTCTCAATCTCTTAGTTAACTTTATGTCAATGGGTTTCAATATTCACTCTGGGGTTGGCGTAATGATGTTTATTCAAGGGATTTCTTTATGTTTTAGTTGACGGTGGATTAAGTTACAACTAATGTATGTGTGATATTCACTGGCTCGCATTGATTTTTTTCTTCAGGAAATTGCTAGACAGTTGTGTATGGAACATCATCTGCTCTTCTCCAAAATGGTATATGGCATTCTTTTCACTTTTCAACCAAATGTTCATAATGATTTTAGTTTTTTAATTAATGTGACAATTGGCTCATCTTTAGGCATCATTCGATGAGAACTCGCAATTTATAATAGCTATGCTGCGGTGAGTATAGTTACCTTGACGTAAAGAGCATTTTGGTTTTGTTGATAATCAACTAAGACAAACTGATTGAAATTTTTCAGGGAATGTGGACTAGCACATAAGACAATCATCTTTGTGCTTGATGAATTCGACATGTTTGCACAGGCAAGTTACTCGTTTTCCCTATGATAGAATAACATTTTACCCAGAGCCATCCTAAGGTTGAGAAGTAGAACAGAACTTTTGATGAGTTAAGGAATTGGACGTCTGTCAACTCACCTATTATTTTGGTTATATATAGGGAAAGCAACGGTTACTGTACAGTTTGCTGGATGCTATGCAATCTGTAACATCACAAGCTGTTGTCGTCGGTATTAGTTCTCGACTGGTATGATCGTGCATTGGGTTTAAGATTATTTCTGGTTAATTTTTTTATAGACTCTGTTATTTATGTTTGAGGACAGTACTCTGGTTTAAAATCTTCTACATGCAATCTCTCACCGCAGGATGCTGACCAACTCCTTGAGAAAAGGGTGAGATCTCGCTTTTCACACAGGAAAATTTTGTTTCTTCCTCCATCTAGGGAAGAAATTGACAGGTAATGAGCAGCATCTTTCTGATCTGTAATGAGCAGAAAACATTAACTTGTATTATTATTTGGATTATCTCTCTAGTTTATTGGAACACCTGCTTTCTCTACCAGCTGACTCAAGCTTCCCCAGTGGATATGTTTCTCAGTTCAATGAAAAGATTAAGGTTCTAACACTCACTCCCAATCAGTACTGTACCATGCATATCTTTTATACGATGTCAATTCTTGTTCTGAAATATTGATGGTTTCCAATTGAGAGTTTTTTTCTTTCAAATGCGTAATGTGCAGAATATAACATCAGATTCGAGATTCAAAGACATGCTGAAGACATTTTTAAATGCCAATTCTACTGTCAACAGTTTGCTGAAGTTTATGTAAGTCGTCATTTCCAAGAGTGAGCTACTTTCTTGATATAATTGTCATTTTTTCTGTGTTGAGGCTATCTCTTGATGTTAGATTCCGCGCTGTTTCTTCAATGAATTTGGAATCTGGCCTCCTCTCTCTTGAGAACTTCAAAACAGCACTTTCAAGTATGCAAAGGCAACCAAAATTGGAAGCCGTTAGAGGTATAATAAGCCAATTGGAAAATAATTTAGATTCGAGAAATATGTTTTTGGCTTAAACTTTTTCCTTAGAGAAGATGGTTAAATCAAATGGTACTACTAACTTTGTTGAGCAGATTGTTCCATACTGGAGCTTTATCTTTTAGTATGCATGAGGAGGTTAGAAGTGAAAGAGCAAAGCTCATACAACTTCATCAGTGTGATGAAAGGTATAACCTATTAATTCAATTTAGTGCGCCACAATGAAAATAACTTGGGATTCTATGTGTTTTCCAGAGTATAAGACGATACACGATTCTTTTCAGACCTCAGACTACTACGCACAAAATGTCTGCCTACGTGTAAGTGTATAGCTTTTATGAAATGTCACGGTTTGAATATGGTTATGATCTAAATGGCTGGCATGACAGGCATTCGAGCACCTGAGAGAACGAGAAGTTATATGCTACGCAGAGAATAGAGGACAGTCTCAGGCAGGTGAATACCGTCCCATGAAGCTTTTAATATCAGCCTCTGAGCTTCATCAAGGAATGAGATCTCATGCGTGTTGCCCCGTAAGTTTCCATTTTCCTAGCTTTTTATTTTTTAAGCTGGCTTCACTTGGTGATATCTTTTTCTTTTTCTGCTGGAACAGGCCATTCTTCTTAAGTTATTGGACCATTAGTCTCTCTGTTTTTTTCCTTGTCCTTTCGGAATAAGACAGTTCTGTAATGACTATGCATGTGTATGTTTATTCATGGTGAATCTACTCTGTTCAGTTTTGCCTATGCTGTGAGTTTCTCCACCTGCCGGTTATGCTTATTTAGAGGCAGAGTCTTGTCAACACAAACAATAGTCTTCTTACAACTTACTATATTTACAAGTGGGAAACTTTATCTACAACAATCAACCCATCTTATTAAAGTCTCAACATCAAACCCTTTTTTGGTCAAACCCTTTAACTAATAGAATTACACCATATGCTACGAATTGCAACAGACAACATTCAGCATGTCAATGCTCACATTAATTCTCTCTTATATTTGTGTGCTTGCACCAACGGATTTTCACACACCAGCTCCCTTCAATCCCATCTGGCCGCATGCCACAAAGTGATGCTCCGAGTCAATTCTTTTTCTTCCCACTTTTACTCTCAGGTTTGCCAAGGAAATATTTGAGACTCCACAAAATCCCTGTTTCTTGTTGTCTTTTACAAAGGCATTGGTCTCAGCAAGGCAATCAGAGGTGATTCTTCTTGCTTTTCTTCAGCAGGTTTGACATATGATTCACATGTTCATGGCTTTCCTTAGCCCCACCCATCAGCCATCGTATAGCTTCAGTTGCAGCATCCTTCTCAGCAGTCTTCTTGTTGCTGCAAGGCTGCCCCATGATCTGTGTCCCGTTAAACTCTACTGTAGATTGGAACTTGTTGTTCTTCAGTTGCTTTGTCTTATACATCGGTGCTGCATGACCAGCCCTTGTGAGCATTGTTTGGAGCTGACTCTTGGAATTGTCACCCCCGGGCCCATTTTCGGTCCTTGAAACCAATGTCGGTTGTGTTGACACCGCCGACGTTCCTAAAGGCTGAAGTGCTTGCCGACCAAACACAAAGCTTCCATCACATTTATCCTCAGAGACCAATAACCATATAGCCAACAAGAGGTCACGGTGTGTTTGCATGTCCATTTTAGGATTAAGTAGCTGAAAAGTATTCATAATTCAGATGTTTATTCCCTGACCACATCTGTTAACACAGTTGAAATACACAACAACAAAGCTGACTAGTTTTTAGATATTATGAAACTCACTTTGCTCTGTATCAGCTCGTCAAGCTCTTTCTTCAAGGTTTGGTACATCTCTGCAACAGCAGGTTTCATGAAAAAATCCAAGTATCCTCCTAACATTTTCAGGTGGCCATCCTACCAGAAACAAAAGGTTGGCAATAAAAATTGCTGTCAATCCTGTCAACAAAGAAACACAAGTACAAGCAAAAAACAATAGACAGAGAGAAGCTCACAAAGTCTCCTTTGGAAACGCTACCGCCAAAGAGGATAAGCACAGAGTCAGAGACAGCTGTTGAATCCCTAACGAAAATAGAGTTCACTTTTATCTTCTCGTTGAAAACCAACCACGGATATGGTATTTTTGTTTCCCGAGCATTTACAGAGTTCTACAGAAAAGGAAAAAAAAATGTACTCAATTTCCAACCAAACAGTAGTGGTTAGGTAATTCTCTTATTAATTGTCTGGATGGAAGCATACTGAATAAAGAAGAACTTGGCCGTCCTCCATAGTCTTCAGGGAAAATGATTTCTCATTATGCTGCATGTGTCATTCACATAAATAAATTCTCAATAAAGCAGACTGCTGAATAGAAGAGAGAGCAGGACAAGAGAGGTACTACTCACCACAACCGAGCAGATTCCAGGATACAATCCATAGCAAATAACTGCTCGTGTAAGATTCTCATCATACCCTCCTGACTTGCAGGTCGCTGGGTTTCCATCTTGTAATGCGGTATCCTTGAGTAAGGAGAAGAACTCTTTTCGGAGAGAATCAATAGCTCTCATCGACTGTATTGAGAGAAAGTTTTTCCAGCAGTAATCATATACGGCACCTTCTTCCTCAGCTCTTTTCCACCCCTCATATGCCCGAACAAGTGCAAGATGATCACTGTGATCACGTGAAAACTGGGATTTGGCAGCTTCTGCGAGCTGTGAGAGTTAAAAACAAACACATTTTTCAGGGGACAGGGAGATTTCACAACACCTCGTACCAATCTGACTTGAAGACGAGATGCCTTTGGGTAAAACAGACCAATAGATGTTATAGTGATAAGTGCGCAGTTGAGCTGCATTTGATTTTATATATGGAGGGAGAAAGACTTACATTTTTCTTATCCACAGGTGTCAAGAAAGGATCTCTCACACTCAGGCCGGCCGTAACGGTCAATATGGGATCAAGGCAACCTAGAATGGCTCCTAGTATGAGCATTTTTCCAAGCTTTGGCTCCATGGGAAGCTTGGACAAATAACGACCTGAATTTCAGCCACATTAGACAAATTTCATTTCTGCTATGATTCAGATGAAAGGATTTTTCCTCTTACCTAGAGCTGTGAGGTTTTCCTTCTCATCTAATGCCCCTATTACCTTCAGATACTCAATGGCCTTCTGAACCTGCGGGAAAAGTTGAAGAATACTACTGTTTCAGTGATTACTATAAGGTTGCTTTAAATCAAACACCTTAACATGGGTAAAGTTCTAATAAAAAGAAAATCTAACCATGGAAATAAACAAAAATTGTACCGCTAATAGTTCAGGAGATTGCAGTGCCCTTGATAAGAACTCAGATATGGTTCCAAAATTTAAACTTTTGATTTGCAGACACAGTGACTGTAAAGGAGTCCTCAAAATTTCAGGCAACTGATATTCTGCAAAAGCTTCATATAAGCACTTTGGGTAAAGATGGTAACACTGGCCAGGTTGAACACGACCAGCTCTTCCCCTTCTCTGCAATCACAAACAGAGCATAAGAATCAACACTAAATTCACTAAATGTAACCCACTGAGCAGTCGAAATAATAAAAAGAAGGTTGGCAATGGATATTTAATTCTAGTAGTCCACAGTATATATGAAATGCAACTGCGCATAACACGAACAAATAACATCTAATAGCTGGTATATCTACGTGTATGTAAACCCTACTGCTAATCCATGTCCCTGTGACCAATGGTCACTCCTATTACGAATCAATGGGGCGAATGGCTTTGTAGTCTTTATTATTTGATCTTGAAAAGCTATCAAGTCAGAACAACTAGCAATACCTGCTGGGCTGAAACTTTGGAAATCCAAGAAGGAAGCAAACAGGGAGTGTTATTTAATGCATCATAGGAGGTCTCTTTCGCCTTTCCACAGTCAATAACAAAAGCAACATCATTGATCGTGATGCTTGTTTCTGCGATATTAGTGGCCAGAACTATCTTTCTTACTCCGTTTGCAGGTTCTTCAAATATTAACCTCTGCATCAACTCAAAGTAAAGAGTAACTGATAAGTATGCTTTCTGCAGTATAAAAGTTCCGGCTGTAAAGGAAAGAGAGAGAGAAACGGAGAAGAAAATGGTAACAGCTATGCAAATAATGAACTTAATATTTCCCTTTCAAACAATCATTATACAATGCAGACTATAATTAACACGGATAACCTACAATACTGATATTCTAGTTATACTAGCATAAGATGAAAGTAGTCATCAGGAGAGAAAGTTATAAAACCACCTGCTCAGAACTTGCCATAGAACCATGGCAAGCAAGCAACATAACCCGGTCTGGATTGCCAAAGATTGGATGAATCTGGAGTTTATCTTTCAGAGAGCTGATATCATCCCATCCAGTCATAAAAACTAAAATACCACCAGGCCTCTCATTCTCGCAAATATAGCAAAGGAGAGATTCTATGAGATTAAAACCAATACAATCAGGATTCCAACAAGATAAAGACTCTCGAGTCACAGGGCTAAACTCATTGAAGTCGGCCGCTCTCAGTGCATCCTGCTTACATAAGGGAAAAATAAATGAGGAACCTAAAACGTACAACTAAATTAAGGTAGACCGGTATTCTTTTTCTAATACCTCCACAACGGAGGCAATTTGGCTCTTCCTTTTTCTTGGGATATGTTTGTTCATCTTCCACAATCTTTCTTGACCATAATCATCAATTTGATTGTAGGTAGTCAATCTGTACCCGGACATCTCCAGAATATCCTCTAAGAAATAACTACAAACCGGATATGTAAAGCCCTACAGTGAGGAAGAAAATAAAAGCAAAATATATTAGTAGCATCACTGGGGCTAAACAGAGCAAATAGATCAATCCATGTCGAGTCAGCAGAAGGAATAGCAATATATTGAAATGTCATATAAAGATCGAATAGTAATTCTCTTCCAAACACATCCTCACTAACATAGTATGTTTCCTACTTACTGGAATGTGAATTACACCTGCCCCACCAAAGTATGACGAGAAAAGCTCAGCATCTAAAGTTGCACTCATCAGAATCAGCTTAAGCTCTGGGCGGCGAGGTAGGAGATCTTTAAGAATGATAAGCAAGAAATCTAGAACAAAAAAATAATGTAGTCAGAAAGTTGCATTCCAGCTAAGCTCAAAAAGAGGTGCTCCCTGATAAGACGAGTATACCTTCATTCATTCCACGCTCATGAATTTCGTCCACAATAACATGAGTAACTCCTCTTAAACTTCGATCTACCAACAACCTTCTCAACAAAATGCCTGTGGTGCAAAAGAGTAGGCGAGTATCTCTTCCTCTAACACCTTCCAATCGAACTTTATATCCAACCTTCACGCAAAAACAAGAAAGAGAACTTAATCAGTGAAGAGAGTGAGATTTCCAAATATAAGGCTCCAAGCCAACTAGATATAGGAAAACTCACGGATTCACCCAACGGCTCTCCTCTCTCGCAAGCAACCCTCTCCGAGACAGACATAGCAGATATTTTTCTCGGTTGAGTACATATGATACTGCATAACGCCCCACGGTTTGCTTCAATCTCTGATTCCAAAATAAACTGTGGAATTTGTGTGGTCTTGCCACAACCTGTTTCTCCAGAGACAACAATAACCTGTCATGCCAAAAATGATGTGGATCATCGGAACAAATACAAAACCAA